GCTCACGCTGCTGGGCAGCGACAGCTCTTGGGTGCACCCACAGCCGCCGAGGCACCCCACGCTCACAGCCGGCCCCTGTGCTCCCCAGATAAGTATGCTGTGCGCTTTATTCCACGCGAGAATGGCGTCTACCTGATTGACGTCAAATTCAACGGCACCCACATTCCTGGAAGCCCCTTCAAGATCCGAGTTGGGGAGCCTGGGCACGGAGGGGACCCAGGCCTGGTGTCTGCTTACGGAGCAGGCCTGGAAGGCGGTGTCACAGGTGGGTCAGCCCTCACTTCTGGTGGGTGGACGCTGTGCTTAGGGCCTCCTGCAAGTTGTCAGCAGCAGCAGGAGGCGCGTGGAGGCGACGAGGCTGCGCTGAGGTAGGGTGGGGGTGGGGAAACGGGCCATGCCAGCTTTGCCTGACCTCTCGTGCCTGCAGGGAGCCCAGCTGAGTTCATCGTGAACACAAGCAACGCAGGAGCCGGCGCCTTGTCGGTGACCATTGATGGGCCCTCCAAGGTGAAGATGGACTGCCAAGAGTGCCCTGAGGGCTACCGCGTCACCTACACCCCCATGGCACCCGGCAGCTACCTCATCTCCATCAAGTATGGTGGTCCCTACCACATCGGGGGCAGCCCCTTCAAGGCCAAAGTGACAGGTAGCTGAGCAGCAGACGGCAGTGCCCGCCCCAACCTGGCATTCTGGCTACCTCTTACTGTCGCCTGCTCCCCTGCAGGGCCGCGTCTCGTCAGCAACCACAGCCTCCACGAGACATCGTCAGTGTTTGTGGACTCCCTGACTAAGGCTGCTGGGGCCCCGCAGCACGGGCCCGCAGGTCCAGGCCCCACTGATGCCAGCAAGGTGCTGGCCAAGGGCCTGGGGCTGAGCAAGGCCTACGCGGGCCAGAAGAGCAGCTTCACAGTGGACTGCAGCAGAGCAGGTACGTGCCCACGCCCTGGCGCCAGCCCTTCCAGAAGGAGGGCCAGCACAGGGCGGGCTGCATGTGGCCCGGGAACGCCAGGGGCAGGTCAGTCCTAGAGCCACCTTCCCTGGCTAGGGGAAGCTGTGGGGGCGACGGGTCTCCGGGGCTGGCCTGGCGGGAGGGGCGGCAAGGGGAGAGGGGATTGCACGGGGTGGCGCCGATCCAACACAGGACGCTTCCTGCCCCAGGCAACAACATGCTGCTGGTGGGGGTGCATGGCCCCCGCACGCCCTGTGAGGAGATCCTGGTGAAGCACATGGGCAGCCGGCTCTACAGTGTCTCCTACCTGCTCAAGGACAAGGGCGAGTACACGCTGGTGGTCAAGTGGGGCGAAGAGCATGTGCCAGGCAGCCCCTACCGCGTCCTGGTGCCCTGAGCCCAGCGCCGGCCTGGCCGGCACCTCCCAGGACCAGACTGCCCCCACCCTGCGCCCACCCCAGCCGACCCTCCTCCTCAGCCCTGGGGCCCTGGCCCATGCTGGCCGCCCTGTCACTGCAGCCGCCCCTGCCCTGCGCTGCGCTCACTGCCTCCACTTGGGCAAAGGAGAGAGGCGAGCAGATACCTTCTTTGGTCCCAGGAGGAGTGAAGGGTGGGGGTCCTGTGCGCCACCCCCACAAGTTCTCTTCCCCAGCCAAGAGGAATAAAGTTCTGCTTCAATTATCCGGGGGTCTAGCCTTCTTGCAGTGGCGTCGGAAGGGAGCCTGTGGTCTAGACCCCGGGCTGCGGGATCCCCAGGCTGGGCCACCAACCTCTGTCCACCCCCGTCCTGCTCCCACCCTCCCAGCGCCTTCCCCCAGGGGCCCTTTCCTCTCCTGCCGCCCTGGGAGCCCAGCGAAGAGCCTGGCACCGGAGCACCCGTCCTGGGCCACAAAGAGCAGACTGACCTGTGAGAAGGGCACGCGAGAAGAGACTCCAGGGCAGGGGTGGAGGGACAGGTCTCGGAATCACCACACCTGCCATGTGCCTCCACAGCCGATGAACAAGGTTGCCCACAGCAAGCCAGTGGCAGCAGGCCAACACCCAAGGCACACCCCTGGTGGCCTGCCGCCCACCTCAGCCCATGAGTCTTCACCTGCTCTGTGCTCCCTCCACCTGCAGGCCTTGCCAGGGGTGATCTTTGTACACTGGGGAGGTTTAAGTCCCTCACCCACACTGTGCCAATGCTTCCACCTTCCACCCAAGTACCTGCCACTTGAAACAACCAGACCGAGCCACTCATTGTGGGGATGGAGAAGTCGGGCCCTTAGCCACTTTGGTGAAAGGCCACTGCTGCCCACATGCCAGCCCACTCCCTGCTGTGGGCTCTGGCCACCCTGAAACATCCACAAGGACCTGCCTAGGAATGTGCTTCCTTCAGTTGGGAAGAGAAGGGTGTATAGCAGCCAAAGATGAGCTTAGAGCTTACCACCACTGTGACTCCAGGCAGTTGGCCAACCAATATGGAAGCACCTTCTGACCAGCTTGAGCCCTGAGACCAGGCACAATGTCACAGGACAGCCTACTGGGAAACAGAGAACAGGGCTGCGTGGGGGCCAGAGTGCAAATCCCTCCCGGCTTCCCAGGTAGGGGTGGAGGCAGCAGGAGAGCAGAAGCTAGTAACTAGCACTGTGGCCCAGCTTCCTGACTGCACCCTGCACAGCAGGGCTGGACTGCCCAAGGCTTGCACCGGGGGAGGCTCCCCTGAGAGGCCACCTTTGCCCCTAGGCCCCAGCCCCACCAGGTACCCCCACCGCCTTCTGCCAAGAGGAGACAGTCCCGCAGGCATCCCCTCCAAAGCCTCTGTGAGCGAGGCTCCGGGACGGAGGTGCCCCAGAGCAGCGCCAGGCTGAGCAGGACCCCCGTGCCCGCACGGACATCACCTTCCGCGCCCTGGCGGCACTGGCAGAGGAGGCCCACGTGGGGGACCCAGGCCCCGGGCACGGCTCGAGCCCGAGGCCCCCCGAGGCCCAGCCAGCCAGGGGCCAGAGGGAGGGGCGAGGGGCGCTTCTCACGGGAAAGGACCGGCAGCTGGCAGCTGGGAGAGGAGCGTGGCTGTGGAGAGCAGGAGGCACGGGGCTGGGCTCACACCTGGGGCTGGGCTCACACTCAGGGCGGCACCCCTGGCCACGTGCCCAGAGGCGGGAGGGGCGGCCGCCCAGGGTGGCAGGGGCACAGCAGCCTGGGGGACATGCCCGCCCAGGCCCCTGGTCGCTCCAGTTAGGGGCAGCCCCCACCCGCTGGTCCCCTCGGGTCTGGGGACTGGGAGACAATCGGCGCCCACCGCCCACCGGGCTCGCAGCCTGCCTCCCCCTGGCCCCTGAGGGAGTGCCCGGGGCTCGGGGCAGCCCGGAGGGAGAGGCCACGCGCCTGCAGGCACAGCCTGCCAGCAGTGCCTCGCAGGGCGGCCGGCTGCAGCGTGTCCCTATTGGGGACGACCCGGTGCAGCGACACACAAGATACACAACTACCGGTGGGACTAGGTAAAGCAGGGGGCACAGCGATGAGTCCCCGCTTTGGAATCTGAACCCAGAATCTATAGGAGCCCCTTCTCCCCATAGCGCGGGCAGGAGCTGCGGCCCCCACCCTAGGGGCTCCGTCTCAGCTGCTGCCCGGGAGCAGTAAGCTCTACTTGCTCAGCCTTTCTGCCTCCCGCCTTTCTCCCTTGCCGGCCGGTCACAGAAATCGGGACAAGACCGACCCTCCCTCCCTTCCTCCCTCCAGAGCCAGAGCGGCCTGGCGCACCCCAGCCGTGACTCAGCCCCGCCTCAGATCTGCAAGATAGGAGACTGGGCTGGGGCCCAGCCCCTCGCGTCGCCACAAGCCTGCAGGTGCGGTCACGCAGCCGCAGCGTGAGAACCCCTGTGAGAGGCGCCGGCCCAGCCACCTCCTGGCGCCCTGGGACGGGCTGCGGGGGCAGGACCCCGCAGGCTGTCAGGGGCGCGGGGACGCACCTTCCCGTGGCCCCGCGTCCAGAGGCGCGGCCGCTCGGGCCACTCCCGCCGCGGGCGACCCCCGCCCCCCCCCCCAGTCACGGTCCCGGCCCGGGGCGCCGGACTCCGTCCAGTGCGCCGGCGCGTGCGTTGGCGAGGCCGCGAGGGCCTGAGCGCCGGGCCAGCGTGCGCGTGCGCGGACGGGGCGGGCACTTTTGGGGTTGCCCGCCGCCAGAGGGGAGGTCCGAAGCTTCGAGGGCCCAGAGACGCCTCTGTCATCGGGTGGGGTCGCCACTCCGCGCTTTAGCGCCCGGGGACCCCAATACACTGTTTCTGGCGGTCTCAAGGGCCGGCCACCTTCGACAGCCTGGGAGGAGCGTGGCGGGTCCGGACCCTGCTCGACGCCGGTCTCCTGAGGTGTCCGCGCCCGCGATGGGGATCCAGATCTGGGGTTCGGGACTCCGCGGGCTCCAGGGCTGGGGCGAAGGCGGGCCCGAGTGCGGGGGCGGGACGACGGGTTCGGGGGTCCGGGCGTAACCGGCCCCGCCCCACCTGCCCTCGCCTCCCTGGACGTCGCTTTTCCTTGGCGAACCGACCGGCAGCCCCGCCCTTACGCCCGCCCCTTCCGGCTGGGGCGGCGTGTGACGGGGCCGGGCTTCGCCAACACCCGGCGTCCCTCCGCCCCGCCCCTCTGACCCGACGGGCAAGTCTTCCCCGGTTGGAGCCCTCGGTCCACGACGGCGCCCCTCCGGGCCGCCCCATCACCCTCTTCACCGTGTAGCCGGGGCTGCGGGCTGTGCGCGCTGTTTCTGCTCAGAGTGCCCCACCCGGTCCGAGGACATTCGTTTGAAGCTCAGGCCCACCTTTAGCCTGTCTGGCTGCTATTGTCCAGCGTGCAGCTGACAGCGTGGGTCACCGGCTTGCAGGTGCACCATCATCACTGTCCACTGGATCTTCACCTCTTCCCAGACCCTGTCGCAGTGTTAGCTGTTGGCGCACATGCTGCTCTCTCCTGCTTTAAATCAAAGCTTCTTCCTCGTTTAGGATTTTACCAAGAATAAACCCCAAACACGGCACAAAGCAGCTGGTTTTAAATGATTTATTAACTAATATCCTAATAGATGAATATAACTGAGCTAACATTTTGGTTTGGTCACTTGGCAAATGAGAAACTTCTGGAACCTCACATGTGAGTTGGGTGTGACTTTAACCAGCATGTCCTCTTCACAGGGAAGTCACTGCAAGAACAGGACACCCTGAGAGCTTTTGTTGCTCCACATCCTCTGCCCGCAGTAGGAAATGACGCAACCAGCAGAGGCGATTCCAGGGCCAATGCACTCCCACCACACCCTTGAGGCTGCAGGCAGGTGGTGGCCTGGCGGATGCTGCCACAACTCGACTCTGCATCTTTGCTCATGTGCAAGGACACATGTTCTGGGCCTAGTGTTGATCCCCAGCCTACTTATCTGTAGTCTCATGAGAAAACCTCCAGTGGTTCTTGTGTTAGCTATTCTGTGACTTAAGGTCCTACACCTGCTTTGATGACTCAGCTACAATTAGACACCTAGTTAAGGTTAACAGGAAGGTAGTTAGATTTTAACAAAAAAGTATAACAGTAGAGCATTAAGAGGTTTGGCAACAAGCAGCGTTATATGTAAGTGCCAGGCTTTTAAGACTGCGACCAACAGCTATCTTAGTTCATTAAGATGCACCTCACAGCCACGATGATGTGTCTGGCACTGATCCCATACATATCCAGCAGCTCACTTGACTTTCCACTCCGAGGCACTCCGGGCACTGCCAGCTGATGGACCAGGATGTCAGGCTCCATGGAGACAGCTGTGGAGACCGCCTCCCCAATGCCACCTGCGAAGCAAAGCTTCTGGTGAAGGGGCCAGTTTTACAGCCCTGCAACAGGGAGGCTCTTGCACTGGCTGGCACCCGGGTAAAATACTGTCCACTAGCCATTGACCGAAGGGAACAGCCACTCCCCAAATGGCCAAAGGTGTTCTCATTAGACACTGTGGGTCTCGAAATTGTTCTACTTCAGAGGCCTTCTCAGCCAGGGCTTCATGGACATTCTCAAAGCTATCAGGGACCCGCAAACAATTACAACCACCAAATGCACTACACAGGAGAGAGCAGCAAGGGGCCACTCGAAAGGCTGCGAGTCTCTGCCCTGGGCCCACCGTTGTCCTGATAAAGAGCCAGATGCCCTCCCAAGAGTGCCCAGTCTCTGGGGGTGCTGGAGAAGCATGTTGGCAGAAGGCCGCTCCATGGGTGGGAGGAGAAAGGGGGCCCGAGGTGTGGGTCCTGCTGGGTGCCTTTTCCTGAGGGCACTGGTGGTGCTTTTAAGGGCTCCTGAATGTGAGAACTGAAAGCTCCCCATCACCCCATCTACCCCACCTAAGCTTGTCAGGCCGAACACTGCCTTGTCAAGATGGGCATGACCCTGCTCTTAATAAGCCAGTAGGTAAGAGACCCCGAACTCTTGCTGCCCACTTGCAGAAAGCAGTGATCAAAGGTTGCTAGGTGAGCAGGCAGCGGGAGGTGCTGTGCCAGTACACTGCAGGCCTCCAGTCGAGGAAAACAAGTCCCACCAAAGCAGCAAATTCTGAAATGCTCCTTGAGGCCCGCACACCTTCTGGGTAGTGGTCCTCCACAGTGATGATCCGGCCGCCCGTGGCTCTGGCACTGGAGACGATGGTGGCAACGTCCAAGGGTTTGACCGTAAACAGGTCGATGACACGGATAGAAATACCTGGAGAAGGGCAACAACCAGCTTGGCAGATGAAGCGGACTTGGCATCACAAGACCGCTTGTGGTACACGAACGAGGCAGCCCAGCCCTCTCTTCCCCCAGACTGAATGTCGATGTTCAGGCATCACCCGCTGACCTTGCTTGAAGAGCTCCTTGGCAGCTGCTAAGGCTTCATGGACAGTCAGCCCTGCTCCGATGACTGTGACCTGGTCGTCCACACCATGGCGCACGACCTGGTGTCATGCCAAATGCAAACATCTTGGTTACCACCCAGCATGCACCATGAGGTGGGGGACACGTTCAGTTTCACCGCACCCCATCCCTCGGGGCAGCATGCTGTCACAACGCCTGCCCGCTACACCCTGTGTTGCACTTCAGAGCCCAGAGGGCTCTTCCGAGAGCGCCATGCCACACCGACTAAGCTCATGACACCCCAAGTGCAGAACTGGCCTTGCACACAGAAAGTGGATCTCAAACCAGGGCCCTAAAAGCAGAAGGGCAGGTGTGAGTCGTGCGGCCCGCTGGTGCCAGGGCGCAGACTCAGCCCACCAAGAGATGAGGAAAGGCAGCACCTCTGGGATGCCCGGACACCTGTACCTGGCACACATGCGGACTGGATGCTGACGAGCACGCCCACATGCTCTAGGCGTCTGTGACGCGCTCGGCCTGAGCACCTTCCTGTCTGAGCGCCCTCCCCTCTAAAGGTCAAGCGCCACCGCCACCGGGGAGAGTCCACCTGAGCCGGGGAGCTCTCCAGGGTAGGGCTGGGACCTGCAGCCAGGCCTGACTGCAAAGGCCAAGTTCTCAACCACTTGCTATTCTGCGAAGATGGGGTGGGGGAGGTCCCTGGCCTTTTTGTCTGAGTTTTGTTCTCTCCAAAGCCACTCAAGCAAGCAATGGCGTTTTGCTCTTCATTTTACCCTCTGAGGTGGTTTCCCTATTGCTGACAGCACAAAAAAATTAGAAACCCGGGCCTGTAAGCCACCCTCCAAGGTTGGGGCCTTTTCGATGTACACACGCATGCCAGCTATGCCCTTTACAAGTCTGGCCCTCGAGTAAGCCAAGCCAGGCACGCCATCACGCACATTTACCTTGTGTCCTTCACTGTCAGGACACTGACTTCATGTTGTCAGGACAGGGGAGTATTAGGGGCAGGCATGGCAGCAGAGGTAAGGAGCTGGGCAAACTGAGGGGCTGGCGCACTGAAACACACCTGCCCTGCTGCACATGGCCTTGAGCATGCCACGCGAGCCCAGGGACAGCAGAAGCTGGGGTTAACACAGCCGCTCTTCCAGCAGGGCTTTGTCAGCAACCTGTGGCCGGGGAGGCTGCTCCAGCCCAGCCCCAAGGCCCGCCTCTGCCCTTTGAGGAGCAGCCTTGTCCTTGCCCCCAAATCGGGTGTCAACCTATCGTCTCTCCAGGAGTGGCTGTTGCTGCCTCACACCCCCAAGAGCAGCATTAGTAAGGACAAAGACTTATCGAGAGGAAGCAGGACACGAAGGTTTCCTACACAGCACCATCTCCACCGCGGGGAATGTGCGTGCAAGCTCGGGAAAGGCAGGAAGGAAACACCCAGGGTGCCGCACAGCCCAGGGACGCAGTCATACCGCCACCACGGCTTGGCTCCTGCTGCTCCCTTGCTCATGGCAAACCGCCAGCAAATCACTTGCCTCCTCTGCCCCTCACCTACAAAGCAGGACTAACAGCGTGTGCCTTGAGAATGTGCCCCTTGTGCCGACCTCGGGGTCACACAGCTGCCAGCACCAAGTCAGTTGACAGTCCTGTCCACTCCCAGCCTGCGAGCCAGAAAACCTGAGCCAAACAGCTTACTCCTGTGAAGTAGTTTCCACTCTTTTGTTTAGCTTGAGGCTGGTAAGTCACAGCTACAACTCCATGCCTTCCGGAGAATCCATTTGGGAGAGAGAAGTGGTCAGAGCGGACTATCCCTTCCTGCGACAAAGTAGGCAGAGATTGCAGCTGGCTTTTGCTAAGCTACGGCTACGGCGAGGCGACACCTGCACACGGGCCCTGATGTGCTCTTTGGTGCGCCGTGTCCCTGGAAGACAGACAGATGACCGTGGAGAACTCCAAGCCTTACCTTGGCCTTTCCGACCTGGAAGCTTTCTTGTGGGGTGTAAATAACCTCAGTCTCTGGTCGACTGGTCCGAATGAAGCATACCCCCTGGGGCACAAATGAAAACCAGAGCACAGTTAGGAAACCAAACTGTAAGTGGCCAACTAATAATGCTCACAAGAAAGGGAGTGGACGGCTGGATAGTTCATTCACTGGAGCAGCAGCAAGCACTCTGGAGCCAAGGGCACGTACCTGTAACACTGCAAACCTCATCAGGCTCCCTCCTAGGCCAAGGCAGGAGGCTGCAGTGTGCCCCGCCCTCAGGGACAAGCGTCACACAGTCACACCCACCGTTCAGGGAAGAGCCAACCTGTGCTCTCTCCGTGGAACTCGACCCCAGGGCAGGAGCCCCGCCTCCCGGGAGTAAGCAGCCCACACCGTAGGAACTAGCAATAGCAACTCTTCTGCCCCAGCTTGTCCTGCTCTGTCCTTAGAAACCTCTCAAGCACCAAAGTAGAACACGGTTTGCTATTTTTCCAATGAGAACATGTAAACACATTTTTTATGAACTTGGACACAAAACCAGGAGTGGAAAGGAATACACAATTACCTAAAATATTTCCTATTTCACCTACGAGTCGAAGGCGTGTATTACGATTTCTGCCATCACAGCCCGTGTGGAGTGACTCCCCGCACTCCTAAGTGTGGCATGCTCTGTGCCCAGCGAAAGAAGTGTGCAGTCTCCAGTGTGCTGGAAATGCCTGGCAAGGGCCTCACGACACGCACGGCGACTGTGTGGGACCAGGTGAGTGAGGGAGTCTGGGGAAGGCTGCTCCCGGTGGGTGGAAAGGCCTAGACTGTGTCCATTGACCGCCCTTGCACGTGACTTTAGGGTGACGGGTGGAGTAGCGACTACTTTTTTTGCTCTTCCTGAGGGTGCTGGGGCCCTGGAGTTTCTGCAGTGGGGCCCCAATGGCCACACTCTGGGCTGGTTCCCAGTAACTGGGAGCCTCGCTGCACCTCCCAAAGGCTGTGCTGTCTCGGCTCACTCGGGGCACAGAACAGGCCTGACCCTGCACCAAGGTGCCGTGTGCTTCAGCTCTCACGCATTCACGTTCTTCCCTAGTCTCCTTGCTGGCGGTGGTTCTACTATCTGCACACCACTACCTTTATGCTGACAGAAGAGGAAAGACCCTGTCACCAGCACCAAAGTAGGAGCAACACTCAGACGCATTTTCTGTAACTGGCATCTGCTTGAAAGTACCTTGGTCTTGGCTGCCAGAAAGACAGCGTGCTCGGTGGAGACTGCGTCACTCGGATAGAAAATAGTGCAGTCAGGAATAGTCCGGAACATGGCCAGGTCCTCCAGGGCCATCTGGGAGGGGCCGTCTTCCCCTGAGAAAGTCAAAGTACAACACAACCCAAAAGTGAGCATGACCCAACAGGAAGCCTTCCCTGTGCTGGCTGTTCTTACTGCCAAGGGACCTGCAACTGTAGCAGAGCTCCCCTAGGACTACCCCATCTAGAAGAGAACCCCCTTCCCACGTGCAGTCACATCTGTTTCCCTGGAAACACCACCGTGGCTCTTCCAGTCAATGCACCAGTCCTGACCCTCGCCAAACTCTGGCCCTCGGTCCAACATGACTTGCCACTTTTCACCAAGTGCCTGTGGCCAAGGCAACCCTGCCCCTCTTCTCAAGAGCCCCTCAGGCTGTCCTTGGAGCCGAGCTCTTCTGTCTTCCCTAGAGGGGCTTTGCAGATCCAAGCGATCTTAGCAGCCCCTTAAGGCCTTCAAAGGGGCTGGGCATTAACTTACTTCCGGGGTGTGTTTTAGCTAAGGGGAACGTATGCTGTGTTGGGGGAGTTTTGACCCATGTACACTGGGCTGGAGCTACTGCTGCACTTAGCTGATCCCAATTTTAAGACCTGTATAACACCCAACCTGGGCGAAGACCTTGGGCCCCTCCAAGGGCCTCACAGGTCTGGCCCTGCTCCCTCCTCTGCATCTGGCCCAGAGATTGCACAGTCTAGCTCTGTGTGGGTCCTTGAGGATGCCTAGGCATGCCCTCTAGCTCTGCACCCCAGCAGTAGACGCCCTGCTTGATGAGATGCACCCCAGCTGCCTCATCTTCCCCCGGGCATCCTCTCTTTGCCCGGGGGTGGCGGGGAGAAGCCCTTATGTTTCCGAAGCAAGGAAGAATCAGACTGTTTTTGTTTCTCGGGCTGTCTCAGACTCCTACATCTGCTAGCAATGTTGCCTTCCTAGCCTGGACTCAGGCTCACCCGGTCTTCTACCCCTGCTAAGGCTCAGGACCCGCCTGTGCAGGCTCCTCCTGGGGCTTCCTTCTGGCCCATCTCGCCCAGGTTAGTGCTCCAGGCGGCCTTTTCATTCCACTGGCTGGCTCCAGGCTGAACCCTGGGGTGCTGCGTTCCCCACTTCCCCGTGCCCGGGCTGCGGTCTTCCCTGACACTAAGGAGACCACACTGAGAGCAGAGAGGAATTCCGTAGCGCTGGGCAGACCTGGTTGCACCCAGGCTGTGGCTCGACATGCTAAGAGGCACTCAGGACGTATGCTTATTCCTCAGTGACTCGGGGCTGGGAAGGTCCAGTAATGCCAAGCAATATGCTCCAGATACCCAGAGCATCTGGGGCAGCTACGCCACATACTTCTTTTTAAGGTCACAAGTAAGCACACATTTTGTTGGCAGTTGGACTGTCACAGGCTCGTTTTTGCCCACGGAGGAGGGTCATGCTGGTGAGGGTGCCAAGCTCGTACCGACGGACGCCCCGCAGTGCGATCCGATGAGGTTGATGTTGCTGCCTAAGATGGCTCCTGTCCGGATCTGATCAAATGCTCGGGTCAGAAAGGCAGCGAAGGAGCAAGCAAAAGCCACGGTGCGATCCCGGGCAGCACAGCCCAGCGCCACGTTCACCTGCAGCACAGAGGCAGTGAGTCAGAAGTCCTGGCCTCGCCCCTCTGCGAAACCCCCACTCCGCAGCCTGCCCGGCCTCGTGCCCCTGCACAGGGCCTGCACCCTGCAAGGAGAGCAGGGATCCGCAGCCCCATCTTGCGCGCCCCAGGGTCCGCTTCCCACTCTTGCTCTTTTAAAGGTCCAGTCAGCTTGCCCAGCACCCTCATGCACCCTGGGGATGGAGGGGCAATTTGGGGGCTCTGCCCTCTACCCAACCAGCCTGTGCTGCCAAGGAGACAGGGCGCCCTGGCCCTTTCACAACCCCCTGCCCACCAGCAGTCCACTGGATTCGCCCTTTCTCTTGGGTCATTCTCTCATCAGCCACATACTGTTCGTTGTCCTATGCCTGCCCTCTCCCACCTCCACCTTGTCCTCCCCAGGGACGGCCCTCTGTCTTACCTCCTTTACAGAAAACCTTGCTCTGTGTGGTCTGGCTCACTTAGGCTGACAGTGCCACAAGGGACTTGGAAGCTGCCAGCCCAAGAGGTTGCTGACCTTGCTAGGAGCTGCTGCTCCTGCCCCTGGCGGGACAGTGCCTCTTCCTGCACTCCCGCTCGCCTCTTCCTCCCCAGGCCCTCTGCTGCACCAGGCTCCCAAGCTGCTGTCACATGCTCTCCTCCTGCCTGACCCAACGCCAGGCTCCTACATGCCAGCAGCCTTCAAGTTGAAGATGAACTCTGGAGGGGGAGGTCAAAGGGGTGACCACAAAGACCTTCCCGAGCACATGGCCATGGCTAGTTTGAGTTAAGATTCTTGACTCCTTTATAGATGAGAACAGGCAAAACACCCCAAGACGAAACTCAGAAACATCTTTGCAGACTCCTCCAGCAGCCAAGAAAAAGAAGGCAAAGATAAACAGCTGGTCCCACACAGTAACCAGAGAGAAGACCCCTCATGGGGAGACAGTACCTGCACACTTTACAACCAGTTAAGGAACTGGTGTCAAAGAGCTATACACAGAGCTCACATGACTCAACAAAACAATCACCCCAGCGCAACGATGGGCAGAGGAGCTAAACGGCACCTCCACAAAGGGAAGCGCAGATGGCCAAGAGGCACGTGAGCATGTGTCCAGCATCGCTGATCATCAGGGAAACACAACTCAGCACCACGGCCCACAGCGAGAAACGGCAGGTGCGGGCAGAGGCGCCTCCTACGCTGCCGGGGGGCAAGCAAGCTGGTCCGGCCACTGTGGAGAGCCAGGCGAGGCCCCTCAGGACACTGAAAATGGAGCCATCCTGGGGCCCATCGAGTCTGCTCCTGGCATCCGCCCAAAGGACGCCGAAGCGCCGGTCCAGAAGGTCCCCGCACCCCTGCTGCGGACACGATCCGAACGCCCAGGGGGACGAGCGGCCAAGCGGCTGTGGCCGCGTTCGCTGGACCACCACCCGGCGGTGGGGAGAGAAACCGAGCCCTCTGCGGCTACCGGCCACCGGGGGGAGCGGAAGGGGTGGCGCTCGGTGACAGACGTCAGAAGGGAAAAGCGGTATCCATTGGGCTCACTTACAGGAAGAACCGGACTTACAGGGGAACCAAACGAGGGTCAGGAAAAAGGCAAACCCTGCTAGCTGACCACAGAAGAGCACACAGGTCTGTGGTGGTGGGGACCACCCCCCAGATTTATGGGGACTACATCTGAGGAGAGAGATGTAACATTCCACAAAACGAACAATAAAAAAAAAAGGTTCTTCACTCTACACCGGCACCAGGAAGGGGCTGGTGGACACCCTCCCTCTCCTGACCCAAGAGTCACCTTCCAGCAACCTAACTGCCAAAGGGCCACTCACCCACTTGGAATCCGACAAAAGGCCAACTTGTAAAGAAAAGAAACTCTAACCACCAGGCAACAAACCCATTTGGAAGCCAGTTGTGTTCCAACTGTTCTCTCATTGAACTGTAGGCAAACCCGATGGGACTCTCTGATGCTACAAATTCTTCCCAACCAACTTGAAAGATTACTGTGTGGCTTTTCGCTCATAATATAAAAGGATTCCAAGACCTGAATGATATCTCGCAACAAATTCCCACCCCTCAGCACTCACACTGGCTAGGAACAGGTCAGTCCTGCATCTTCCAGTCAAGCTGCATCTACCAATCCATTGCACGAGTTAATCGTTACAACCACAGCTCAGTTCAGAAGAAATTGAAAGGTGTATGGATAGGAAATTGCTAATGAATATGCATATACTTGTTGCAAAGACAAGAACGGTCAATAAGAGGTTTTCATGCATAAAGATGTTGGGGAAATGGAAACAAGATCTAAAGTAAAAATGAGGATTTCGGGCTCTCCATGGTTGTGCAATGGGTAAAAGCACCACGTTATGAAACTCTCAAGCCACTGCAGCAGAGTTCAATCCCCTGCCAGGGAGCTTCCTGCCACACCCATATGGTGCAGCAGACCTCTCCTGACCCGCCCACTGCTCCCCTCAGCAGTTTATTTCATTGATCTGCCTGTTCTGCTCCCCACTCTGTCTCTGGTGAGTCCTCTCGCCGCCCCTGCACCTCTGGCCTGTACCCCAGTTCTGTATGCATAAATAAATAGATCTTAAAAAAAAACGAGGATTTCATTTAAAGTGTCAAAAAACCTCAACATACAGAAATTCACATCCTTTGCGACTACTTAAATTTGTGGTGAAGATTTACACATTAACTTAAACCTACAAACAAGTACACCTAGCATAGAAAAACACATTTAGTGTTTGGAGAACAATTTATCTACTATTTATCTGCCTGACACGTTTCAATGGGTCCCCTGATCACCCCAAACCCAAGAGAGCTTCCGAGTGACTTGCAAACCCTTCCTCCCCCCAGGCAAACCCATCGCAAGAAGGACATCCCTCTGCACCCAGGTGCTCTGGCCCAAGCCCATGTGCCAACCTTTGTTTTACCTCTACACCTAGCCCATCGCATCAAGCTGGCTGTTCTCCTAAGAAGATTCCAAGGAAATTTTCGCTTTTTTTCCCCCGCCCTTCCCTGTTACTGTACTATTCCAAGTCACCACCCCACGGTCATCCTTCACAGCTCCGCCAATAACCTGTTCTCCCAATGCAGGGTCTTGCAGCTCCCAGCAGAATGCCAGGGAGGCTGAGGCACCCAGAGAGGCACAGAAGGGCACCGATTCAGCTCAGGTCATCTTTTTTGGCCACTTTCCTTCCATGCTCTCAATGCTTCCAGCCTCTTCTCTGCTCCCAAAAGGACGCAAATTTGGGCCTGCCAAAGAACCGGCTATGGCCTCCCCCAGATCTCTGTACCCCAACAGATTCTTTGCCCTCTACACCTGAACTTCTATGTCACCGCTTCCAAGCAGCTTTCCTAATCGGCCCCAGTCCCATCAGGGTCCTGTGCCACCTGCTGGCCATTTCTTTATTAGCTTTCTTCTGACTGCTAGGAGACCTCAGCTGGCAGAGTACGCCGCCGGCCGCTGACTGAAGAACTCGTAAGTTGAGGAGCAAGCTTTCTTCATGAAGGTGCTGACTTCATAGTTTCTTTCCCTTGGCGGCGGGGGGGGGGGCACTCTCACTCTGCCTGAAGAGGTTGCCAGGTCATCTATCATGTGTCCCCCAGCCATTGTGGAGCCCACCTGCCACACTCCACCCTATGTTCTAACTATTTCCTCAGAGGTATCTTTAGTTACTCTGCCTTTCTAAATGGGAAGAAACACTAAGGCAGAGCAGGCCTATGTCTGGCCGGCCACTGCTAGTCAAGAAGACTGGAGGCCATACCCACAGTGCACGCACCATGTTTTGCTCAGCAACGAAGCACTCGATGAAGCGCTCAGGGTGCTCCTTCTTAAACAGCTCAGAGAAGGTGGAATTCTTAGTGTCACCATCCAGCACAATAACTCTATCATTTGCATGACCCAGCTTCACCAGCGCCAATCCACATGCTTTGCGAGTCGCCATCTGGAAGAGAGAAACGACAGTGTCTTGGTGCATTTAGATGGAAGGCTAGAAACCTCGCACAGCTATAAACTACCCCCCTTAACGATACAAGCAATTGTCTGCTTCACCGATAACTTCCCTTAGAATCACAAAGACTCACCAATCTGAAGTCTGTATGTGACCCATTAGGTGGTACTGAGCTGTCAAAAACAAATTTATTCCCTGTCCCGTTCAGAGTTAATTAAAACCTTTTAATTTCCAAAATGCGACTTTTCATCGATGAAATTTATAACACTCACTGCAGACGCTGAAATCTAAGACTTTACAACCATGGTACCAATGCCACTGCTTTTCTATGAGGAAACAAGACTTAGCAGTTCCTCCAAATGTCACACAAGGATTTCCAAGTGACCCAGCAATCCTACCCCAAAGTATACACCCAAGAGACGAACGCGTCTTATGCAAAATCTTGTACCTGGACGTTTAAAGCAGCTTTACAGCAAAGACAGGAACAACCCAAATGCCCATCTGTGGCTGCCAGCAGCAGATGCCCGATGCACACAAGAGGCAGAGCCCTGCGCTCGCCATGGTACGTGCTGCCCAGAAACCCATGTGGGGCAGGACAGGCATGGGCATCTATGTTCATGGTCCCGCTGATATGGCCCCACTGATAGGAAGTGTCTGGAACGGGCAAATCTAGACACTGATAGGAGCTTGGTGGTTACTAGGGTGGGTGGGAATGGGACAGGACTCCAACAGGGTGGTAGCACAGTGATAAGCCCACAATTCTGTCACTGTGCTAAAAACCATCCACTATGTACTTTGGTGGATTATACAGCGGTTCAAACGAGGCTTCCCCTTTTGTCTTCCTTCATCAAAGTGCTCAAAAACACTCTTAATTAAAACCAGGCACTTCAAGTAGACACAAAACAAAGAATTGTACAGGGTACAGCACCAAGAGGTCATCTCTTGCCATGCTCCCACTCCCCGGCCGAGACACGGTAAGCACAGGTTTGTGTGCGCCCTCTGGGAACACCCAGGGCATCATCGCTCACATACCAGGCCTGACGTCATCAAGAGTCTTCATAGCACCTTAATGAACACTTTGCACATCCTAAGTTCAGCTACTTTATAGTTTTGTGACTGTAAAAGGGACCGCCTGTCCATTTTGTTTATTTCAAAGAGGAATGACTGAGTATTAAGTCTTGCTACAAGCTCTTACTAGATTCTTTTTCTGGTTGATTCTCTTGGGTTTTCCAGGCATACGATGCTATCTAACCTGCCAATGGTGACAGGCTTGCAGTCCCACTGTGTGGAAGGGTTCCATATTTCGTTTAACTGCACTGGCCAGCACATCCAGAGTGGGGCTGATTCTGACAGATGCAAATGTTTACTGTACAAAGCGGGGATTATCCAGGTTTAAGGTCGCTAGATTTAGAATCACACTAAAGAAATACTCACCAGTCCAGTTTTGTTTTCTACTAAAGAGATGTGAAACAAAAGAAACTGGGAATGACTATTGGATTTTATGAACTGCTTTGTGTAGCATTTATCAAAATGATACTCCAGATATTGATAAATCATCTGCATTACAACTTGAACTTCACCAATACATGGGTTTCTTCCGTGTGCCAAAGGCAAACCCAACTTTTATACTGATATCTGCAAATGAGGTTAGTCTGTTCTTTTGCTTTGGGCTAGCTTCATCACATTCTGGGCTTTCTGGATGAACTGGAATAATTTTGTATTTTTTTTAAGTATTATTTATGCATGTAAGAACTGGGGAATAGGCCGTAGGTGCAGGGGGTGAGAGGCCTCCTCAAAGACAGTGGGCAATGGAATAGGTGGATCCACTGAAACCCACTGCTGAGGGTGGCAGCAGGGAGAGAGGAGAGGTCTGCTGCACTCTGGGGTGACCGCTGGGGCCAGGGGTGGACTCAGGCCATGGTGGCTGGTCATAGTCTCATAGTGCTGAGACTTAACCCCTGCACTACCAGGGAGACCCCTAATACTTTTCTTTCTTCATACTCAGGAAGCTCTGAAATAGCCTAGCAACTGCCCATTCCCTGAAGGTTAATGTGGTGAGACTGGCACTTTGGGGGCATGACTCTTGCACAGGTTCTCCGTATTTTCTATGGCTGTTGATCTCATTTATGGTTTCCTATTTTTCAAGGCAATTTTGCTGTTTTTCGTATTTCTAAAAATTGGTTCTTTTTATTTTAGATTTTCATGTCAATTAGCATAAAGTTGTATACAATTCTCTGAATGTTCTCTGGGTTTTTCCACATCTAATGACTAATTTAGTCATCTAATGACTAAAGCGTACATTTACGCTTTTTATCTTTAAGCAGATTAGGTAATGACTTAACTAAAGACTCTCTTAATCAGAGTCAATCTTTGTATTTGTTAGTGTGACTTTTTAAAAAACTCATAATTTTAAAAGACTGTCAATCCCCTCTTTTCTGTTTTTTTTTTAAGATTTATTTATGCATATTAAACTGGGGTATAGGCTAGAGGTGCAAGGGGTGAGAGGATTCCCCAGAGACCGAGTGAATAAGCAGATGTACTGAACTACACTGCTGAGGGCAAGAGCAGGTGGGTCAAGAGAGGTCTGACGCAACCTGTGGGTCACTCCCTGGCCAGGGATCGAACTCAGGCCCAGTGGCTGTGGACAGCTTCATAGTGCTGCGCTTTAACCTGCTGAACCACCAGGGTGGGCTACAATCATAAATTTTTTTTAAAGATTTATTTATTCATACAGAACTGGGGTACAAGCCAGAGATGTGGAGAGTGAGATGAGTCACCAGAGACAGAGCGGGGAGCAAAACAGGCAGATCGACAAAGTCCACTGCTGAGGGGAGCAGCGGGCGGGTCAGGAGAGATCTGCCGCGCCATGTGGATCACCTCCAGGGCAGGCAGGGATCGAACTCATGCGGAAGTGGCTTAAGCTTCTTAGTGCAGGGCTTTAACCCGCTGCGCCACCAGGGAGGGCCACAATCATAAATTTTTAACAAACATGCATGCTTTGATTCATTTTTTCTTTCAAAATATACTTTTTAAAAACAAAGTACTCATTTTTCTATACAAAACTAAAAACAGTATTTTCTATACAAACTTAGAATTATATCCTATGCTGCTCTGCAACCTTAAAAAATTTATCAATAACTAGGGCAAGGCTCATAACCTCTCTTTTATTGAGTCCTTTCCAATTCTGTTGAAACACTGCTGCTATCAGCATTCATTCTGATGGGCCTCGCTACACACCTGCACAGGCATTTCTACAGGATAAAGCCCTCAGCATCACACTACTTGTTTGAAGGGTGCAGCCCTCTGTGGACATGCTGCCAAAATGCCCTTTTGTTACACATGCTTTTCCCTGAGTTCCTTGCTTCTGCTTTTCAGTTTTCATTTTCTCAAGTAGTCAATTTACTAGGCTAAGAAAGCAGCAACACTCAAAATGTCCCAAAATAAAACAAAGGGTAGCCAAATCCTTGCAGTACTGAAGATCGTTATCTATTCTGGGCTTGGCTATAATATGGCAGAGACAGAATGGAAAAATAATACTTATTTTGTGTGTGTGTGTGTGTGCGTGTGCTGTACTTTAACCCCTTGCACCACCATGTGAGCCCTTGAAGACTTTTTTTTTTTTTAAATAATCAGTCTACAATGAAATGGCCCCACTTCCTTGTGTAAGACAGGCAATGAGTGGAACAATCAACCCCGCTAGGCCCCCTGGCACCTAGCAAAGACGACTGTGGACACCAGTAAATGTAGGAGGCAAGCAAATACATGATGTGATATCTGACCTGACCAGTAAGAAAATTTAGGGCCCTCCCTGGTGGCACAACAGGTCAAAGCACAGTACTGCAAGCAAGCTGCAGCCACTTCAGCGCGAGTTTGATCCTCTGCCCCAGAGCTGACCCACATGGCGCGGCAGACCTCTCCCGATCCGCCCGCTGCTCCCCTCAGCAGTGGACTTAGACTGCCTGTTCTGTTCCCGATTCTGGCTCTGGTGAATCCTCTCGCTGCCCCTGCACCTCTGGCCTGCACCCGAGTTCTGTATGTATAAATAAATAAATCCTTAAAAGAAAATTAGAACGTAAGTGAAGTGTGAAATCAAAGGATATAAGATAGTGAAAAAGAAACCTGTCTCTCCTGCTGACAAGTAACCTGTAAATGTCACGCCCTTTATAACTGGTTCATCTGTGAAGAACAGAATGAAGAGTCCTGGATACACAGGGAAAGCAGATGCTGTATTTACTCCATTACACGGTTCTGCCTACCTTGCCTCCGATTTCATAAGCAGGCGGAGAGATCATTTCTATATCCATGATACTGATTTGAGGAGAGTCTTCAATAGGAGACTTTGGCTCAAGACTCCTACTGGTCTGTATCTGACTCTCAATTAATTTGATAATTGCATCTGCTCTCTCGGTTGGCATTGGTTTTCCATGCCAATTTTCTGCATCCTCAACACCTGCAACCAAATGAAGAGATAATCCAGTCCATGCATATTCAACAAACATGTGTCAGTTCACCTGGCAGAGGACAGCCTGGACGAAGGTCCAGAGGCTCTTGAGTGGCCACTGGCTCACATGCTGATGAATGGAGGGAGCCTGATGGAAGAAGAGGGGCTGAAGAGACAAGCAGGGTGGACACAGAGCATAATGAGGGCATAATGTGCTGGAGTTTTGTCCGAAAGCCAGATGAGGAACCAATAGAGGGTCTGGAGAAGGAGAGGTGATCGAAAAAAAGATACCCAGGAAGCCACACGGAAGCTGGTTCAGAGGCTAGTGCTGCAGTTAGGGAGAGATGATGGGCCCTTCGTGGGGCGCAGTGTGGGACAGATGGGTAGAAGAAGTCTGAGTATACTTCAGAGGTAGAACTAATTAGAACTAATGACAGAGTGGGCATGCGTATAGAGGTCCTTGGGGGCGGGGAAGCCGGAGGGAACGTTACAGACATTTCTGCCAGGAGCAAACAGGTCATCGTTTCCTCAACTGGGTGTGACCTTGTGTCACAGAAGTAGTGCGCTGACTCCCTGTACTCAAGTGGGGGCACCACAGAAAGACTATTTGGCGAGGAGTCACCGAAAATTTTTATTCTAGGGGAAAAAAAACAAGAACCACACACATCCTTTGCAACTATTTGAGTATACTTGAAGTGAATGTTAAGGCTGGCAACCCCCCCCCTTCCCTGGTCCCACAGCTACTGTTCTCCTAGTTGCCTGGGTAGGTGCCCTCAGCACCAACTCACACACTAGTCTCACTCTGAGCATGTTCCCTAGTAAGCCTCTGATGGACTATCCTCCTAGCCACTGCCTCTGCAGGTAGAAAACTTCCTGCCCACTTGCTGGGGGGCTGGGTTCCCCCAACCCTATGCAGACATGCTGTCTAGTAAGAACCAAGTAGAGCTAGAGGTCCCAGCATGCGCCGCAACTAGTTAGCTGTCTGACAAGTCTGTGCCTCCTTCAGCCTCATCTGTTTTACAGATGCTTTTACTAACCCAAGCAGAAAAGAAACCCTGCTTACTTGGAATGCCCCGGCCCTTGAAGGTCTTGGCCACCACTGCAGTGGGCTTGTTCTTCACTTGTGTTGCTTGCCAGAACACCTGGCACAGTGCCTCCACGTCACGGCCATCCACCACGTAAGTATTCCACCTGCCACAGAAGGCAGCGCCAGGTTACAAGATGAAGGGTGGAGGGAACATAAAGGTGACAGAACAGAGGGCAGTTACCCAAAAGCTTCGCAGCGCTTCTGGTAGACCTCGATGCAGCTCTCAAGGGGCATGGCGCCACTGCTGTGGCCCAGGCGGTTGACATCAAAGATGGCCACGAGATTGTCCAGACTGTAGTGGGAAGCGAAAGCCAGGGCCTCCCAGACGGAGCCTTCATTGGACTCACCATCTCCCATGAGACAGAATACCCGGTAGCTGAAGCGAGGCAAGACTGGTTAGGACCCTGGCAGGGCTCATCTGGGCCCTTGGACAAATGCAGTTTATGAAGTCACACCACAATGAAGCAGCTGACGGACCCAGCAGGCTCCCGACCAGCTGCCTCGTCACCCTGCCCCAATGCCACACCTGGGAAAGTGCCACTTTAAAAGCTTGGGCCTTACCTTTGCCTAGCTTCCTCATTCTAGCTTAAAAGGTATTTCTAGGTTCTTCTGTCACTTCTCCACACTCCACTAACAGAAGGGAAGCGGAGACTGGGAGAAAGCAACATCTACATGCAGTTTCTTGGGAGGCCTTGCTGTAAGCACTGCCACCTTCTATTTCTAATCTTACAAATTTATTGACAATAAGCATAGCCATCAAACACTCTACCTTGGGAGCATGTGTTCAATTGTAACCAGTAAAGTCCTCTGCACAGAAATATGAAATGTGTATACCAGAACACAGCTCAGACCTTGCAGAAATGCTGTAACTCAAGTTTGAGAAAATGTTATTAACTGTAGGACACAAACCAAAAGAATTTTCAGCAAATGGAGAATGTCAACACACTTACTTGAAGGGAAGAAGCCTGAGAGTGTCAGCAGCAGGCGGGCAGGACGTTGTGCACCTGGGCTGGAACTGGTGGGCTCCAGCCTCAGGTACCCCATGGAAAGTCATGGGACTACAAAATGCACCCCGCCATGGCCAGTGCGCCCCTGCCCTGCCACCATACCAGCAGCAGCAGGGCACACACATGCTAGAATGTTTTCTTATTTTTTTATTGCTTGAACACTTGGTAAGACTTACCAAGCAATCAGTGTCATCCCTAAGTACCTAGGGGTGTTGAAGTGGCTTCTGGGTTTGCAGCTTACCTTGCCTTGTCAAAGTACTTGCCGGTATAGGCCATGCCACACGCAGCGCCCAGTCCCTGGCCAAACCATCCAGTGGCCACATCAACAAACGACAGTCTCTGTATGAGAAGAAAGCAGATGAGCTTGTGGCACCCACAGGACACTGAGCACTTGGCAGTTCTCTGGGAAGGCCCATCCTGCTAGGTGGGTTCCTCTTGACCACACTCATATGCACCCCAAGCCTCAGGGCACCATTACAAAAAGAAGGGGAAACCTCAGGAAATTCCCACCGCCACAGCTGCAGATGAAGTGGCCAAAGTGGCCAGGCTGACTGGCGGCTTAGGGAAGCTAAGAGGCTGCCTTGCGAGGCAGTGTAAAAAGGCCTAGGAGCAAAGCAGAGATTGGAAGCATGAACCCTGCCATTTTCAGAAGGCCTTGTACCCAGCCACACAGAAACCAAGAGTTTGACTTTGTGAGAGAATATGGGCCCTTATTATGGAAACAGATGAAGACCACTATTTCCTCGGTGTGTAAACATCAGGCCAAGTGAGAGTTTAGAAGTGCCAATGCTAGGAAAGTATCAATCCCGGGCCCTCCTTGGTGATGCAGCGGGTTAAAGTGCAGCACTAAGAATCTAAAGCCACTTCCACATGAGCTCAATCCCCGCCTGCCCCGGAGGTGACCCCCAGGGCGGCAGACCTCTCCTGACCCGCCCGCTGCCCCCCTCAGCGGTGCACTTCATCAGTCAGCCTGTTCTACTCCACACTCTGTCTCTGGTGAAGCCTCTCACCACTCCTGTACCTCTGGCCTGTACCCCAGTTCTGTATGAATAAATAAATAAAATTAAAAAAAAAAAAAAAGAATCAATCCCCCCGCCTGTTGTTGTGCAGGCTATCACCACTTCATGGAGAGAGCCTGGCTGTGTGAGGGCCACACGGCAGCACACCAAAGGACTGCTATGCTAAGGCCCCACTTTAAAGCTTGCAAAGACACACTAATTCATTTACTACTCTGGCCACCACCGCTCTTCACCTCTCACTGGAGTACTGTAGTGTCTCCCTGCCCCTCATCATTCCCTACTCTACCTCCCACTACTCAGGGTCGTGGCTTCCAGCCCAGCAGAACGAACTCACTTAAATTTCTGATCTCCAGTTCCATGCCCTGCCCCCACCTTATTCCCATAACATGCGGTGGGTCCTGCTTGCCTTGTATGTCCTTTGGGTCTACCCTGGGTTCTATACCTGACCAACTCTGCCTCCCCACCCCCCGCAAATTTTAAGTGGTGGAGGGGGGTAAATGAGCCCACTTTCTCAAGAACCTCACTTTACAGGTATGACACAGAATCCTCAGGTGACAGGAGGCTGCAGAGTTGAGAAGACTGGCCAGGAATAAGGACAGTGCCTGGCATGGCAGAAGTGCTCCACAACGTGTGGGGCAAGATGCGTACAAGATGCTCTCTTCCTTATGACACTTCCCATCATTTTTCCAGTAGAAAGAACATGTTTACCAAAAGGCCTTTTGGTTACTTCCCAGGCCTGCTGGGCTGCAGAAAACACAATACCCGATAAGACCCTACCCTGGAAGCCTCAGCACCATGACCTTTCTAAGGGCAACCACAAGCACCTCATAGTAACGCCTCCAGCCTTGGCAGGAGGCGTCCTGAAGTAGCTGTCTGCAGTGGAACCCATGTCCTGGAAGCACCAGTCATGGAGGCTGGCTCTCCCAGCTGTGGACATCTCCCAGCAGATGTTGGTCCATTCCCCCAACAAAGCTGAGAAGGCCTACACGCCTGTGGGCTCTGAAAGTTGTGCTGCTGCCTAGACCCAATGCCCACGCAGCTGCTAGTGAAGATAACCTCTATCATGCCAAGGCAGACAGTGGCCTTTAAATCTGTTTGAGCAGACAGTTGAGCAACCCTTGCTGCCTCACCTTGGAGAGGATGAATCGGTCGTTGTTGGGGTTCTCCGGGTCCCCACGCTTGTATTTCATGATATGAAAGAACAGCACTGACATGATCTCAGCCGCACTGCTACATGATGTGGGGTTTCTGGAAGACAGACAAGGTCCAGGTCATTTCTCACAGGCAAGTGAACTCACCAAGGAAATGGTGCATGAGGCAATCTTTCAGCATGTGATTGCCTCAGACTGGAAGCAGCAATCTGTTCTCTCAGGCCTCTAAGAATCCACCTAAAGGAGCTCACTGTTTCGAAGGGTACTCTGAAGCCCAGTAATCTCAGCACCTTGCTCCAGTAGAGAAACCAGATCTCTAAGACCTTTCCTCATCCGGCACCTTTACACCTGGGGCAAACTGACCTGATGTGTCCATAGCATCTTTTCGTTTGTTTTAACTCACCTGCTGCCATTTATCAGAAAGGCCACAAAACAATGCATATAAGGTCAAAAGCTGTCTCATAAGAGGGTTCACGCTCAACAGAAGCTGAAACAGTACGAATGGCCACCATGGTTCCACAGATTTTTGGAATGAGAATTTCTAAGATTTTATGTGCTGGGAATATGGGTGGATGATGGTGGAGACAGTCCACTGGATAGGGCTGGTTGTGCCTCAAAACTACTACAGATAACCTACAAGAAGAGAGTAAACGGAACTTGGCCATAACTGACTGAAGATGATGAAACCTTATTCCCCTGAAATACCTGTTTCTGTAAGAGAAGTTGAAGACATGTAGAAGTGGGAAGATGTCACATGCTCATGGATTGAAACATTAACATGTAAAAATGACCATTTTTACTAAAGTAACATACTCAATGCAATTACTATCAAAATTGCGGTGACATTCTTCAGAGATTAAAGGGAAAAAAAAATCCTAAAATGCATAGGGATTCACAGAGGCTTACATAGCCAAATAAATTCTGGGAAAAAAATAAAAGGACAAAAACAAATGTATCATGCTCCCTGACTTCAAAAAGCTACAGTAATCAAAAACAGTAAGGTACTGGAATAAAAGACATACCAACCAATGGCAGAACTGAGAGCCCAAAAATAAACTCACACACAGAAAACTATTTTCTGGCAAAGAAGCCAACGAAAAAATACAATGGAGAATGAAAAATCTGTTTGAGAAATGCTGCTAGGAAAACTCAACAAATACACGTGAAACAATGAAACCAGAGCACTAACTTATATTTTACACAAGCCAACATAAATAGAGCCATCATCAAACTGAAAGAACAGCAAAGGGTTAGCAAAAGAAATAGTACAATGAAAGGGAGCCTACAGAAGGGAAGAAATTTGCAAATTACATACCAGGCAAGGGTCAATATCCAGAATAAACTCATACAACTAAAAACAAAAAAACCCTGTACAATCAGAGTCTCTATGAACAGGGATTTTCACAAAAGAAGGCATTAAATATGGCCAACAGATGTGAAAGAATGTTCTTCACGATGCAAATCAAAACAATGAAATATCTCACACTTGACAGAAGGGCTGTAACAAAAATTCACAAGAAACAAGTGTCGAAACAAGTGTCGACAAAGATACAGAGAAAAGTAAACCGTGCACTGCATGGTAAGATATATGGGGGCTCTTGAAAACTAGAACCACCAGAGGACCCAGCAATTGTGCTCCTGGCTGTTAGTATGAAAACACTAAGGACGTAAGTTTCTTCAAAAATGAAGAACAGAGATACGGTGATGAGACTGCTACATTCCACTTCAGAGTGTCTATCCAAAGAATACAAAAACCCTCATTCAAAAGGGTATCAATATATACAGCCCTTGAATGTGTTCTGTATGATCTTAAGAAACGTAAGGGGTGTTTAACTATTTGAGGCTTTGTGTATACATAAGAGTGCAAACATGAAGTTGCTGGTGGATCTTGGTATTATTAAACTTATCACCACATTAAAAAGGATAAACAAAAAATAAGTCACATACACTGAAAAGTGGATACAGCTTTATGGCCTTATAAAATCTTAGTTCAATGTCCATATGGCAACCAAATCAGGGTATACTTGAACACGTATAAATACATTTATTAATTACATTAAAAGAGAATTTTTCTTAAAGGGTATAAAAACATACTCAGAGGAAAGTCTAGTCAATAAATGAGGCCAAAGAAATCGGATATACCCATGTTAAAAACAAATAGAACATAGTTCCCTATATTACAATAGTCTCAAAAATTAACTCAAGATGGAGCATAAATTTAACGTGAGACTAGAGACCATTCAACTAGAAAACATGGGAGAATACTTTTGACTTGGGTCTTGGCAACATTTTTTTGGGTGTGGCACAAAAGTATAAGCTACAAAATAAAAAATAAGTTGGACTACACCAAACCCAACACTTTTGCACAGCAGAAGATAACAGTGGAAAGACGTTTTTCTAGAAAGGGGGAAAAAAAGGCAAGCTATGTACGGAATAGGACAATTACTATCTGAAATATATAAGGAACTCATACAATTCAATGGCCACCCCCAATAATCCAATCAAAAAAGGGGTACGGGGGTAAGGGAGGACCCTGAATAGACACAGGGGCGTTCCTGATGGTACAAGGGTTAAATCTCAGCGCTATCAAACTATTGCTAGGTACTACGGCATGAGTTTGATCCCTGGCCAGGGTAACAAACCTCTCCTATCTCCCCACTACTCCGGATTTCAGTAGATCTGCCTGTTCTGCTCCCCGATGTCTCTGGGGAGTCTTCTCACTGCCCCTGCACCTCTGCTCTGTAACCCAGGACTGTATGCATAAATAAATAAATTTAAAAAAAATAGTGGTAAGATTAAGTCATTTCTCATGGTGCAGTAACTGAATGCCGAAATAATAACCTCTGTCCACAGAAGGCCCGCGTGTGAGGGGACAGGGCAGGACACGCAATAACCTCTGTGTTACAATCACTAGAAAACTAGTTTTCAAAACTGTATGAATAATGTCCTTTTACAAATTTTCACAACATGCAAAATGGACACACCTCTGTTCCCTGGCAAGTATCCCCTAAGAGAATGGGTTGGCTAGAAACTCAGATCCCCTGAAAAAATAAACCGTTAAAACTCTATGTTTTAGACTCACTTGCACTGTCTTTTATTGTCAGACCTTAGGAGGGAGACCAGCAGTTGAAAGATGTTATCAGGCAAAATACTTCACCAGACCACAATGCAGTGACTTAAAATCCCTAACGGAAAACCCACACATTTGTGAAAATTAATCAAAACACGCGCAATCAATGGGTTAATGATGAAACCACCAGAGAAATAAAACTGGAAATAGCAGAGACAAAGCACAACATACCAAAAGTTATGGGCTGCAGAAAAACCAGCGGGAACCCGGGCTTGGGAAGCCTTCCCTCAGAAAAGAAAGCCCTAAGATCAAACGCCAGCCCAATGAACACAAACTACAGGAGCCCTGAGCCGGAGCCAGCCCAAAGAGCCGAAAGGGTGGAACAGTAAAGAAAGCCAAAGGCGGCTCGTGGACAAGGAGCCAGGTCTGGGAAGCGGTGACTAGACCCGATTCGAAATCACTTGTTTTCAAAGTAGAGACAGACGCCCCCATGGCGTCTACGTGACAAGAAAACCGACCATGACGCGATGCACAGAAACAATCGTATGCCGGTGAACAGGCAACCTGGAAACACTCTAGAAACAAAGCCGGGTGACTGACGACCGCGAAACAACTCGAAATGCGAATAAAACCGCCACTGAGCAGGACGCCAATAAACCCCAAGGCGCTAACACCGGACTCAGAGCCTGCCGGTCAGTCGCGGGCTAGTCCGAGCCCCACAGCAACCCGCGCCTCAACTCTCCCCACCCAGGCGCCCGGCGTTCGGCCCACCAGGAGCCCCAGTCGACACGCGGTGGTGACGCAGGACCCCAGGACCGCCGGGGTCTGCTCCGCGGCCGCGGCCTGGGCCTGGGCCTCCCCGACTCGGCCTCTCCTCCCTGCCCCCCTGCCCCCCCTGCTCCCCTCATGCCCGCCCCCGCCCCCTCCGCCCTGCTCCCCCCTCGCTGTCCCCCCCCTTTCCTCAGGTGTGGTTTCGCTCCCATACCGCGCCCCTCGACCTGGCCCGGTTGAGCCCCTCTCGGGCGTAGAGGGGCGGCGGGCTTCCCACGAGGCCGCTGGCGCTTACCCGAAGCTCGAAATACACGTGGCGCGGATTGCGCGGATGCGCAGGCGATTGGCCAGGTCCCGCAGCACCTGCAAGGTCCTTGGGTCAGGTTTGGAGGCCTCGGCCAGAGCCACATTCTCCTCAGGGTCGGCCATGGCAGCAGCACGGTCAGCGGTCGGCTCCACAACTGTGTGTGGAGAGTGGGCGGCGTCCCCACGAGAACTCTGCGCATGCGCAGCTCCCTCCGCGGCCACGAGGCGGCCGCAGCACACCCGCGCACCCAGCTCCTTCCGCGGAGCCTTCCAAATGGGGGGGGGGTCGCTGTTGCACAGGGGGCCGGAAGGGTGTGGCGGCACCCTGCTGGAGTTATCGGCCTGAGCACTGCCCCTCCACCTGCCCCCAGTGGGCTTATCCGTGGAGGAAGTTTAGGATTCTGAGCCCACATGGTGTCTCCACTTCTAGAACCTTCTAGAAGCGTTTTCACTTCTAGCACTTTATGTGCCGGCCAAGTCTCGCGAGACCGTTATGGCGGTGTTAGCAGCAGTGAGCACACGGCTTTCCCGGGGCACCCGACAGTGTGCTCCCGCTACCTTCCTTGCGCGCTCCTCTGAGCGGTTGTGGGGGTCGCTGCGTCCCTGACCTGCTCTGGTCTTCTAGGAAGTAGTAAGGCTTCCAGCGGCGCTGCTGCCACGTGCTCCGTGTGGTCCCCCGCTGGGGTGCCAGAGCGGGTACCAGGCTTACCCCCGCCCCCCAGAGCCCCAGGTGTCCCTGACTGCTAGACGCCCACCTTCCCGCCAAGTGCCGGGGTACGTGCGTGGACGTTTGTCATCTATTCACCGGCCCCTCGTCAACCCCCTGAGCCTAACCCGCACCGCCACTGGCCTGGTGGGCGCCACTCTCCGCCCCCAGCTGCGCCGGCTAAATGCACTTGTCCCGGGCGGCCATGGGCTCTGCGCCGGGTCTGACCTCCCCTGCGCCGGCTCTTTCGGCCGGTGAGGGCCCGTTGCGAGGTGTCTCTTCCGAGCTGCCTGCTGCCGTCCTTCACCGTTGTTCCGGATCTTTTTGACCTGCCTAATTTGCACGTCTTTCTGTATATTATGTCGAGTAGCCCTTTCTCTCTTAGAGATAGTGCAAATGTTTTTTTCTCATTCTGTGGCTTTTAAACAAATGTTCCTGGAGATGCTTTATTTTTAAGCAAAAGTAAGCGTCTGAGCCAAAATCTGAAGGTGACTTGTTAACCTTAGTATCCCCATAAGAAGATTAAACCATTTTTTGGGCATTAATATATGTAAATCTCTTCTTTTATGGCACTTTAGTTTGCCCTGGTTTAGCAAAGTTTTCACAGATTATTTTTAAAACGTTCTTATTATGCGTTCTTTATGTTGTTATAGTTTCATTTTTATACTTAGTTCTGTATTGTCTCGACTTGATTATATTTGATGATGTAAGGTAAGGTAGTGTTCTAACTTAATTTTTTTACAAATAGCAAGTTGTTCTGAGATCAGATTTATTATTTGTTTTCAAATTGTTCTTAGTCTTGCATTTTTCTTCTAAATAAATTCTGGAATCAGCTAAGCTAAGATTCATGAGACATTTCTGTTGTTTTTACATTTATTTATGCACACAAGAACTGGGACACAGGCCAGAGGTGCAGGGGGTGAGAGGACTCCCCAGAGACAGAGTGGGGAGCAGGGCAGACAGATCCTTGGAAGCCATTGCTGAGGGGGCAGCGGGGAGACTGGAGGGGTCTGCTGTGCCCTGGGGTCAGTCCCTGGCTGGGGATCGAACTGGTGCTGCAGGGGCTGTGGACAGCCTCACAGTGCTGAGACGATCCCTGCGTTCTCGGGGAGGCCTCTGTTGGGCTTGTAATTGGGATTTCATCGAACTTACACCTTCCTGTGCAGGGGCTGAGCCCTCAGTGAGTCTCTAGAACGTGGTATGAGTGACGACCACATTTACTGGCATCCTTCTCACGGTTTGGTTTGTTCCTTTGTTGTGTCTACCCTTTCAAATATTTTCGATTTACCAAGGGCTACTTTTATCTCCCCTTTATCCTGTGGCTGTAATTTCCTGATGGTTGCTTTTCATTTTTTTTTAAAGATTTATTTATTTATTTATACAGAATTGGGGTACAGGCCAGAGATGCGGAGGGTGAGAGGATTCACCAGAGACAGAGTGGGGAGCAGAACAGACAGATCGAGGAAGTCCACTGCTGAGGGGAGCAGCGGGCGGGTCAGGAGAGGTCTGCCACGCCATGTGGATCTCCTCCAGGGCAGGCGGGAATCGAACTCATGCGGAAGTG